GTCGGAGGTGACTGGAAGTCGGATGCGTCGGTTCATGGACCTTGGCTTTCGGAAGGTGTCGAGGAAATCCGGCGGCTATGCGGATGTTGATGGCTCGGGAAGGTGAGGACCGCGACCCGGTAGGCCGGGGGAGGTCGCGACGGGGTTCGCGCGGACGTGGAGGCAGGGGGCTTGGCGGAGCGCGCCGTCAACGCTCGCCACCTTCGTCGCCTGGTCAGGATAGCAGCGACGACACACAGTCGGAAACCAACCACTTCGGTCTCCGACGTGACAGACGAGATGGCGGTGACGACCGTTGGGACAACGAGGACCAGGAGGACGACGACTGGGATGATTTTCGCGGCCAGCGACGCGGGGCGAAGGACAGCGACTCGCGCTAGGAGGCCAGGTTTTGCGTCGACTTGCCGGAGTTCTCGGGCGGCCTGGACGTGACGACTTTCTCGACTGGGTTGCTGCGGTGGAGAATGCATTTAACTTCAAGCAAGTGTCGGACGATCGCTGGGCCGGACTGGCAGTGACACGATTGCGTGGCCGGGCTGCGGCGTGGTTCACTCAACTCCAACAGCGGCGGCATCGTTTGGGTAAATCTCCTATTACTTCTTGGGGGTAAACTTCGTAAAAATATGAAGGAGGAATTTTTGTCGTTTAATTATGTTAGTGTCATATATCAAAAATTCCAAACACTTCGTCAAGGTAACCGTCTGGTTGATGATTACACTGAAGAGTTTTACAGGTTACTTACTCGCATTGATAGCCGGGAGACCACTGCTCAATTAATTTCTCGGTATATTAGTGGGCTTCGTATTTCGATTTAGGATACTGTTAATATGTTCATGCCGGTTACCCTTTCTGATGCTCATCAACGCGCTATCATGGCCGAACGATAATTGGCACGACAGGCCTCTTCGGCTTTCTCACCGGCAAACCGATTTACCACTCCGACAACCGGCCCAGAGAAGACCGCATCCGGTCCAAGGACAACACTCGGTCCAGGTGGCAGCCGCGCAGGCACTTCGGCTCCGGGAAGTTCCTCCAGCACAACGATTGCGCAGGTTGGTCCTCGTCCAGGTGGAGGTCTTCGTTGCTTTCTTGTGGTGAGGTGAGCCATCGCCAGTCCTCGTTCAGTTGGAGGCCGACAGTTATTTGTTGAAGGTGACGGAGATCACGATGACCAAATCGCATATGATGGACCACCAGTGTTTGATACAGATCCTTTGGAGTCTATCGAGGTTCATAGTGGCGACGTCGGTACATGTCTGGTTCTGCGACGTTCTTGTTTGTCGCCGCATGTCGACTCAGACTCTTCTAGTCAGCGGCACCAACTTTTTGAGTCAACTTGCACAATTGGTGATCGTGTGTGCCGATTTATTGTTGATTCCGGATCTTGTGAGAATGTTTTGGCGGAGGAGGCCGTGTCCAAGCTTCGGTTGACCACGGAGCCGCATCCTCGACCTTACACTTTAGCATGGATCAACCGTGATAGTGGTGTGACCGTTAACCGTCGTGTCTTGGTCTCTTTTTCTATTGGGTCATCTTACCGGGATCAGATTTGGTGCGACGTGGTTCCAATGGATGCATGTCACTTGTAGTTAGGACGTCCCTGGCTCTTCGACATATCGATTATTTATGGCGGTCGTCTTAACACCTACACATTCAATTTTGCGGGTGTTAAGATGATTTTGCAGTCAGCGCCACCTCGCCCTTGCCTCAGTCGACGACTTCTCCGATTTTGTTTCTCTCACGCTCGGCTTTTTAGGAGAAAATGCGTGAGGCACCCGTTATTCTATTGCTATTGCTTACCGAGTCCTCTGAGGATCTTGCTACACCGGCAGCTCTTCAACCTTTATTAGCTGAGTTCGCGGATGTCTTTCCCTCTGAGTTGTCTTCCGGGTTACCACCGCTACGAGATATTCAACACCACATTGATTTGGTGCCTGGAGCGGTCCTTCCTAATCGACCACATTACCGTATGAGTCCTGCCGAGCACGGGGAATTGCGCCGGTAGGTGGAAGAGCTTTTGCAGAAGGGCTTGGTCCGTCGTAGCCTCAGCCCATGTGCTGTCCCAGCATTATTGATTCCGAAGAAGGATAGTTCATGGCGAATGTGTGTGGACAGCCGTGCCATCAATAAAATTACGATACGCTATCGATTCCCGATTCCTCGTTTGGACGATCTTTTGGACCAGTTGCACGGAGCGACCATTTTCACCAAACTTGATCTCCGGAGTGGCTATCATCAGATACGTATTCGTCCAGGGGATGAATGGAAGACAGCTTGGTCTCTCTAATGCCCCCAAGCACCTTTATGCGAGTAATGACCCAGGCGCTGCGAGATCTTATAGGTAAGTGTGTAGTCGTTTATTTCGACGACATACTTATCTATAGCCGTACGTTGGAGGAGCATTTGGGCCACGTGAGAGAGGTACTTTTTATTCTTCGTGCGGAGTCTTTTCATGCTGCACCGCATAAGTGTGTCTTCTTGGTGGATTCGATTCTTTTTCTGGGTCTTGTTGTTTCGGCGGAGGGTATTCGGGTGGATGATGGCAAGATTGCGGCAATCCGGGACTGGCCGACACCTTTCACGGTTATTAAGGCCCGGAGCTTTCATGGCCTCGCGTCCTTCTATCGTCGCTTCATTTCTCATTTTAGCTCTATCATGGCCCCGATCACGGATTGTCTTGCCGGGAAGTCGTTCACTTGGACTCCCCAGGCGGCCGCAGCTTTTGAGTCGATCAAGGAGCGTCTTACCTCGGCTCCAGTCTTGGTGTTGCCTGACTTTTCTCGACCCTTTGAGCTTTCGTGTGATGCTTCTAAGGTCGGCATTGGCGTGGTTCTGAGTCAGGAGTCGCGTCTGGTGGCGTTCTTCAGTGAGAAAATTTCCGGCCCGCAGCTTCGTTATAGTACTTATGACATCGAGTTTTATGCTGTGTACCAGGTGGTCCACCATTGGCGCCACTACCTTTTTCACCGTGAGTTTATTCTCTTTTCTGATCACGAGGCTCTGCGACATCTGGCTTCCCAGGACAACATCTCTTCTCGCCATGCCACATGGACTTCTTTCTTACAGTAGTTCACATTCGTCCTGAAACACAGGTCGGGAGCTTCTAATCGGGTGGCGGATGCACTTAGCCGGAGAGCCATGTTATTATCATATTTGCGAGTTGAGGTAGTTGGGTTTGACGTCCTCCGCGACTTATATGCTTCTGATCCTTTCTTCGGCCCCATTGTTTCTCGGCTTTCGTCTGGCCCGTTTAAGGATTATGTGTTAGTTGATGGCTTCTTGTTTCGAGGACTCCGTTTATGTGTTCCGGATGGCAGCCTTCGTGTGAAGCTGGTGGCCGACTTACATGGTGCAGGTCACGTCGGTCGGGACCGTTCGGTGGAGTTGGTCCATCGATCATTCTTTTAGCCTTCCTTGCGGCGCGATGTTTCTCGTTTTGTCGAGCGCTGTCGTATTTTGCCAGGTGTCCAAAGGGGGGTCGACCAACGCGGGCCTCTATCGACCTTTGTCAATTCCTACTCAGCCTTGGTGTGCCGTTAGCATGGATTTTGTGGTTGGGTTGCCTCGCACTCAGCGGGGGTTTGATTTCATCTTTGTGGTTGTGGACCGCTTCTTTAAAATGGTCCACTTTATTCCTTGCCGGCGTACGACGGATGCAGTTCATGTCGCCCAGCTCTTCTTTCGAGAGATTTATCGTCTGCATGGTCTTCCATCGTCTATTGTTTCGGACCGTGATACATGTTTTCTCAGTTTCTTTTGGCGGAGCCTTTGGCGCATGACTAACACTCGCCTTGATTTTAGTAGTGCCTATCACCCTCTGACAGATGGGCAGACTGAGGTTATAAATTGGTCACTTGGTAATCTGCTTCGCTGCTTTTTCGGGGAGAATGTGTGCAGCTGGGATGGCCGCCTCCCTCAGGCGGAATTTTCTCACAATTCGGCGGTGAGACGGGCCACGGGCTTCTCCCCTTTTCAGATTGTTTATTCAGTGCAGCCACGTGGACCTACTGATTTGATGGCTTTACCGGCTCCGGGGGATGCTGACCGGCGGGCTGAAGACTTGATGGCAGACTTACGGCGGACGCATGCAACGACTCAGGCCCGCCTTGAGCAGGTCACAGCCGAGTACAAGCGGTAGGCCGACCGACGACGGCAGCATGTGGAGTTTGAAGAGGGCGATTTTGTCTGGGTCGTTTTGACCAAGGACCGTTTTCCGGCTCACGAGTATAACAATCTTTCGGCGCGCAAGATTGGGCCTCTAGAGATAGTGGAGAAAATAAATTCGAACGCCTAACGCCTTCGCCTCCCATCCCACATTCGCACTTCTGACGTTTTTAACGTCAAACACCTGGTTCCTTATCATGGCGACAACTCGGGCGACGAGATCCCCTCGGATTCGAGGGCGAATCCTCCTCAATCGGGGGAGAATGATGGCGACGAGATCGCATTGGCGTATCTGGACAAGTTTGATCGCCTTCGTATCTAGTTATTTATTTAGTATTTATAGTCTTTTATTTATTTCCAATGTTTAGGATATTTATTGATTAAAATAAGAAGTTAGGGTTTGGTAGAGTCTATTTAAATGAGAAGAGTTCTCATTGTAAGGGGTGAATGATTGAAATAAAAAATTATTTCTTTGAGTTCTCTCTGTGAGTTCTTATTCTATCCCATCGTATATCATAATTTTTTTATTTTTTTTTTGTGTGTGTGTATGTTTGTGCAGGTATCCTCAATTATACATTGTAATAAACTGCGCTTAATCTAATTCACATCTGTATGATATTAATATTTGGTGATTCCGTTTCAAATGGTACTGACAAACCAATTAATATATGGTCACCACTTCTTGAAGTTTTATTAGTTTTGGTCATCACTAATTATATTGAGCGGGTTATTGTAATAGCCTTTCTCTTGCAGGTTTAGCACTAACCCAAAGACATCTTAGGCGTTAGTACATCAATACGAGTAACGACATTGTTTCTTATTAACCTCCTTAGCAGAATGTGACTCCCTTGAACCATATCATAATCATGTGCGAACGGATGACTTCTAATTTGACGGTTAGATGAGTGCCCAATAGTTAATTTGCTGCTTCGGATACTTTCTCGCGTCTCTCAGAAGGAAGAAAACTGAGGTCATTGATCTTTTTATATGTCCCACCTTGTGTCGGTTATATGGTCATCCTTTTATTTATCTTTTTTACTCTTTAAAGTGAGCTTGGTCATCTTTAGAAGTGTAACCTATATTGTGTTTGTATAATTGTATGGCATTACCATAATCGTACCAAGAAAATTTGTTACGTTGTTTATCATGCTGCTGATTTTGAAGCATCGTTTCTTGAAAATTGATATGTTATAGGTTGATTCTATAAGTGACTAATAGCAAATTCATATTGGCTGAAATTGCGAGGTGTAGGATCATATGTTATAGGTTGCTTCCTATTTTTCGAGGTCGGTTGGCGAGATGCTTTTTTTATCTGTTATAATGTCCCGAGGATTGGTATAAGTTCTATCGTCTTTGATATCTCAAGATTCTAGCTGGCAGTACTTATATTTTCCTATGTTATTTTCTTTCTGGGATGGGTGTGGCTGTAATTACTCATTATAATTATTGTTGTAACACTATGAATTAAATTCCCTAGAGAAGCAATTTTCTTGTACTTTTATTAGATACCCTGTTAAAATGTGATGTGACACTATTGATGATCCTTTTGTGTTTCTGATGATGCCTCAAGTGCCGTCAGGACAATGTTCAGGACAGGGATATGCACGAACTGAGCCTCGGGTTTCTACAGTTACATTACTCCATAGCAACTAGGAATTTGTCAACAGAAAATCCACTCTCCAAGAACATAACAATTTCACTAACATCGTTTTGATTGTATATACTTAAAAATTTATTTTGTGGCCATCGATTAACATATATTACATGTAACCAAACCAAAATTTATCCAAGTGACTCACGACGTAAGCAATGATGCATCACGATGAGAGCAACCGAAAGAGAAATCCAAACGCAGTTGTAGGATCAAGATACACGATAACAAGTTCAGTGCCAGCCATGTAGGCTGAGGTACATACACTCCTAGCAGGCATAAAGAGAAAAATATAACAAAAACATATCTCTCTTGAATGCACCACCAATCCCAGCAAAACCTTATGCTAACACTCTCTTGAAGAGTTCAAGGACTGCAATCCAACTCACACTACGTCCCNCACCTTTTCAAATTTGTTTGACTAAAGAAAGTAAAGAACATAGATTGCCCAAAGGCAATAACCAAACAGGCTTACCTTCCTAGAAACACTTCCTGTGAACAATAGCCGGTCCAGATTCATCATACTCCCCTTTCGAGATCCACATCTACAACCACCAAAAGAAATCACAGCAAAAATGTGAGAGTTCTAAGCATCAATTTTCGGTTTTCAACAAATATGAATTTAGAAGGCCGACTTAAACATGGCACCAAAAGCAACCTGTTGGAAAGTACTGAGAGAAGCTAGGATAGATCCTCCAATCCAGACACTGTACTTCCTCTCAGGTGGGGCCACCACCTTTATCTTCATACTGCTGGGAGCAAGAGCTGTTATCTCCTTGCTCATACGATCTGCAATCCCCGGGAACATGGTCGATCCGCCACTAAGCACCACATTTCCATAAAGATCCTTACGGATATCCACGTCACACTTCATGATGGAATTATACGTCGTCTCGTGAATTCCAGAAGCTTCCATTCCGACCAGCAACGGCTGGAACAGGACCTCCGGGCAGCGGAACCTCTCTGCCCCTACGGTGATGACCTGCCCGTCGGGCAGCTCGTAGCTCTTTTCGACGGCTGAGCTGTTTTTTGCAGTCTCGAGCTCCTGGTCAAAGTCGAGTGCCACGTAGGCGAGCTTCTCCTTCACATCTCGGACTATTTCACGCTCAGCGGTGGTAGTGAACATGTAGCCTCTCTCGGTCAAGATCTTCATGAGGAAGTCAGTGAGGTCACGACCGGCGAGATCCAGACGTAAAATGGCGTGTGGGAGGGCGTAGCCCTCATAAATTGGGACCGTGTGGCTCACTCCATCACCTGAGTCAAGAAC